GTAACTCAAATGCATGAATTCTTCTATGATCTTCCTTATTCACTGTCCAACTTTCACATGCATATGAGGTTATTGAAAATGCCATGGCTTGGGTCAGGTGCATCTTAGTCCTCAAACTGACATCATTGCTCTTCAGTACTTTAAAGAGGTCATGTGCAGAAGATTTGCCTAATGCAATTCATTGTTTGATTCCTTGACTGATGCTTCCATGAGTGTTGATGGTTGATCCACGCAAAACGCAAAACGAAGTCTTTGACAACGTCAATCTTTTCATCATTTATCATGATGTTGTTTATTGGTCCAGTGGTAAGGATTTTTGTTTACACTGAGGTGCAATCAGAAGGCTGTGATCTTTGATCTTCATCAGTAAGTATTTTAAGTCCTCTTTGCTTTCAGCAAGGCAAGTTTTATCATCTGCATATCACAGGTTGTTAATGAGTCTTCCTTTCATGTTTTTCTTCATATAATACATCTTCTTAGATTATTTGCTCAGCATACAGATTGAATAAGAATGGTGAAATAACACAACCCTGGCACACACCTTTCCTAATTTTAAACCATTCAGTGTTCCCTTGTTCTGTTTGAACAACTGCCTCTTGGTCTATGTACAGATTCCTCATGAGCACAATTAAGCGGAATACTCATTCTCCGCAATGTTGTCCATACCTTGTTATGATCCACACAATTGAAAGCCTTTGTATAATCAGTAAAGCACAGGTAAACATCTTTCTGGTATTCTTTGCTTTCAGCCAAGATCCATCTGGCATCAGATATCCCTCGTTCCACGTCCTCTTCTGAATCTGGCTTGAACCTGTGGAAGTTCTCTGTCAATGTATGGTGGAAGCTGTTTTTGTATTACCATTAGATAAACTTTACTCTCATGGAATATCAATGATATTGTCTGATGATTTCTTCATTCCATTGGTTCTCTTCTCTTTGGAATGGGCACAAATATGGATGTCTTCCAGTCCATTGGCAAGGTAGTTGGCTTCCCAATTTCTTGGCATAGATGGGTGAGTGCTTCCAAATAGTATAAGCAAATGAAGCTAATGGCACAACCAGCCCTGACAACATTTCCCGTTTTCTAGCCTCTTCCCCCCTCTTCTTCTGTAGGCCTTTTTAAAAAAGTCTCCCCAGTAACCTACTGTGATTTTCAACCAGAAGATGAATCAGCCCATAGTCACAGACATGCCTTGCCTACTCATATGAGGTGTGTCTTTGGTACACTGGTCTGACGATTTAAAAAGTAAGGTGTGGTGAAGTATCAATTTTGAAATTTATTTCCTTTGTTTTGAAATAAAGGTGTGTCTCTTTCAGTGGTTTCTAATATGTAAAATCAGGTCAACCCCAGTTTATGGTTATGTTTAAGAGCCTGTGACTTGACTGCTTGAATCCTGGAAACGATTTTTCCATTGAAGCAATATTATAAATTCTTGGACTCCCGGATAGGGAATAGATGTATTTAGGAACATCTGGATGCCGAGTGTTTTATATATGTAACCATCTCGTTTGAATCCTGTGAGGAGAGCATGTTCATCCCCAGTTTATAGATGAGGAAATTGAAATCCAGAGAAGTTATATAACTTAACCATGGTTACAGGATTGAGTTGCAGAACTCGGAGCCTTCGTTGTGTCCTGTACTCTCTTC